TTTGCAAACATTTATTTTCAAAGACCACAATGAGCAACATGACACTGATAATGGTGACAGGCCTTTTGTCAGCAGATAGTGGCAGAGCTTTCGACTGACAAGTGTTAAGGCTATCATATTAGGGTTTCATTACTATTATTATATTATATCATTATCAACGTTATGTTCTCTAGCTACAGACTACAGACAGCTGAAAACTGATAGTGATAGAAATGAGAGATCGTTGCTGTTACCAGATTATCTACTGAATTGTCAGCAGTCATTCCACGAGTGTGTAATTTTTATTTTGTTTTTCAATTATTATTTGAGTTTTGAAGAAATTTTGTTTGGGAAAAAAGAATAAATTCAGAAACATAACAAGAGCACTCGTTATTTCCAAATCAAAAAGTAGAAAGGAAATGATGAAACAGGAAAAAAAAATAGTTGTAAGATGTCCCTCTAAAATCTAAATCATTATTCGAATAACGGCTTTAGATCTATCTCATCTGGAAACCCCTGGAACTGATTTGAGTGGTTTTGGAATGAAGCTGACAAAAACAAAAAAACAAAAAAACTGGGAATAGGCAAAGATTCGTAAGCATCTAAATTAAACTGATTTTTTTCCTTTTCTGATAATAAGAAGCATTGGATGTAACTGATTGTGTGCTGTTATCTTGGCACATGAAGATATCTTTACAAACTGTTAGGTTTGATATCCATTAAAAAGAACATTATGCGATAGAATGACCAAGCGAAAAGCAATAGATTACAATCTAACTTCTAAGTGATGAATAAGCATGACAGTAGAGTGTAATTTTGTCACATGATGTATTTGAATTTATCTTCAAGAGGGACCAAAATAATTTCCACCATACAATGTATGATCTAGGAGTAGGAGATGGGACGAGGCCAAACCAGGCCAAGAGAGATGCAACGTTGGTGCTAGCAGAAAAATAGAGACTGTTACAATTGAGTAAAAAAAAAACAACCCAAAAAACAACCAAATGTGCAAACACAGCAATAGAATTCACATCTTTTAAGTTATACCTGCAGCTCAACTTACTGACAGCGGTATGAGGGACAATCAAAGATCTCCTCAATGCCTCCTCAATTTTATGAAGGTCAGGAGGATTAGGATTAGATTATGTTAGTTTAGTTTAGTTTTAGTAGAGGTTTTACGGCACTTACAACTGCATAAGGTCATATGAACGACAGAAGATTAGGGGTGTTACAAGAGTGTAACAAGCATAAAAAAGAAGAGGGGGAGATAAGGACGATAGATGTTTGATAGGAAAGAAGGAGCAAACCACACGAGAGCACCCACCAACCACCAACAGATTATGTTTGTGGGTTGTAGTAGGCTAGTAGACCGTAAAGTAGAACTGTAAACAGACTGGTCTGGTGGTATAGTGTCAAGTAGAACAGAAACGCTGCGGTAAACCATCAAGTGAACTGTCACCCTAATTTCTTTCCCCTCTCAAAATTTCCATATATATATATCCTCTCACTGCGGCCATATCTGGGAGCTTTGCTTTTTTGCTGTTTGTATATTCGTTTGGAAAACAAGGGAAGCACACGCAAACAATAACTGCCATTTTGGGCACAAAAAAAGAAAGACAGATAGACAGAAACAGCAGAAGGGAAGAAATTTGTACCTGTAGTCATAAAGTTTAAAGGAAAAAGAATAAAGAAATGAGTTCTTATGAAAGGTAGGAAACATTTATTTTCAATGTAGACAACTGACAAAGTAAGACCAGCCCATGCACACTGCTGGCAGCAACAAACTTCAAACAAACCTGTTGGGTCAACCATACTGCCAGCTCAAACTGAACTTTTATAATCCCTCAGTTTGTTGAAAAATGAGCAAAAATTGCTTGATGGCACAATTGGTGTGATATAATGACTCCTTTTCCAAACAGACATGATGAACCCTTTCACTGCTACACTCGATACTGTATAAAGTTGTTCTATAAAATTAAAACACTATAATAAATACTACTGCATCTGGCTGCCAAGGGTTAAATCAACACTTACCGAGCATAACGAAAATTATGTGAATACTGTGACGGATTTTTCTCTGACATGAATTCTCTAAATGTGGTACTCTATAAACTCTCTTTGCTTTCAAATGAAGAAAATACAACAGTAACAGTCTCTGGTATAAGTAAAATCGGGCCCCCATTCACACATGTCGGACCTATTGTACAACATCTGGGATGAACTTGAGTCACCATTGGATCATTAGTTACCAAACTAATTTTTTGCTCTAAAGTGCAAAGTTGCAGGGGCCTTAAGTTTACTTACTTATTGCTCTTACATACATGACAAGTACAGAACTTTGGAAACATCATCATACTATGATACTGCCATCCTGCTACGTTATTTCATTAAACTTTGTGCTAATTGCAGAAACATTTTATAGAAACCTCAGATGCACAGGTCATGGAATGATTGAGACAGAAAGAGAGCAGACACAGTAATAGAAAAGTATATATAGATTCGCTGTACACAGAATTGGATTAACCAAAGGAACAATAAAACTCTTAAAGCATAAGAGGCATCAGAGGTTGGCATATATTTCTTCTTTATGTGATCTTTCAAATCAGACAAAACAACAACAAAAATAAAAAAAACAAACAAAAAAAACAATCAGACACACACACACACACACACACTCAAACATATATATTGTGCATAAATCAGGTAGAGGGAAAACACCAGAGTCAAGCTAAATAAAGATATCATTATGAAAGACTTAACCGTAACTCTTGGGTCAGTCTCCTCAGATGACACAATTGTGACCTATGCCATTTCATCTTTCTGAACATACCCTGTTCCTATTCCTCACACTAAAATGACAATTCATCGTGCCACTACTATGAAAACTAAAAACCTGACTTCTCTCAAAAACTTACTGGATCAAAAGAGAAAAAGAATTATTGCAAAGATGTTTTTCAAACAAAAATAGGAAAAACCTTTTCAAGCAATTAACATTCCAAATTTATTAAGGCACCCTGAGAAATTAAATAAAAAGTAATGCCACCTGATTATCTTAGCTGCAGCAATTTGAACAAACTACAGCAAGCTGATTCAAAGCAATTTTGCTGACAGACAAGTGTCGCCGACCCAAGAGCTTCAATCAATCGACAATCTACTTAATGTCGACATAGGTGGCGTCAGTGGCCACGCCGCAATTGTTGTTCTTCTGCGACATGAGAACGTAGCCGTCGTTTCCCCAGTGGGTTGACCATGAGTTCTTGACCAGCCAGTAGGCCTGGTTGTCCATGACGCCGTAGCCCACGGCCAGGACAGCGTGGTCAAGGCTGTCAGGGTCACTCTCTGCAAAACAAGGAAACACAGCATGAGTGGGTTGTTCTTTTCTGATTTCTGAGCTTAGTAGGAGTCTAGTTTTTAGTAGGAGTTTTACGGCACATGCAACACAATTAGGTCATATAGGTGCCGAAGATTAGAGGTGTTACAAGATAGTAACAAACATAAAAAGGAAGGAGGAGAGATAAAGACAATAGTAGTTTGATAGGAAAGAAGGAGCAAACCACACCAGAGCACCCGCCAACCACTCACTTAGTAAAAGTTTTACAGCACTTGCAACACAAATACATCATATAAATGCCAAAGTTTAGAGGTGTTACCAGAGAGAAATATGCACAGAAAAGAAGGCGGAGAAATAAGGCCAATAGATGTTTGACAGTGACAGGAAAGATGGAACAAACCATATCAGAGCACATGCCAACCACCTACTTTTTTCAGATTCTTTTTTTTTGGTTAAAACATGCAGTGAGGAAAAGACGAAGCAGACAGCAATAAAACAAAGGGCTATGGGAAAAGTAGGATTTACAAGTGGCCCTCTCCTACAATGTGCGCAATTGCTGAACTGAAAACAACTGCAACATTAAAGACAAATCAAACACCCTACCACATGCTGTGTGTGTCATAATCAATGACTGAACCGATGACGCAACTACAACATCAAAATCAAAGACAAAACTTACTGCATGCTAGACCATAGAAAACAAAAACAACCCCCCCCCCCTCCCCCCACAGTTGAACCATTATTGCAGCAACAGAATCAACACTGAGTGTGGGAAAAGAGAAGCACACCGACACATAAATAATTATTTGGTATAAGGAAACAATGAGACAGACAAAAACAAAACAAAGGGAAAGAAAAAAAGTTGGGGACTTCCCACAGCATCTCTAGTCTCCCATGCAACTGAATCAACAGCAAACACATCAAATTGTTTGTTTTGTTGGTTTGAGTAAGGACAGGCACACTGACACGATGACTGTCTTACAGTGATGGGAAAGGGCAAGACAGACAGGCAGAATCAACAGACAAAAAGTCTCCTTCCTCTCGTTCATCTGTAAAAGGACATGCAAGTCTCTGGTGGGAATGTTGCTGAACACTACGGCCCCTTCAGATTTCCGTTAACTTTTGAGGTCTCCTTGCCAATAATTAGATGGAAAGTAAAGCAAACAATATTGAAATAACTTACTGCATGCTGGGTCATAGTAAACGCCATCAGAGTAAAAGCCGAAGGACTTGTGTGAGGCATCAATGGCCACGGAGATTGGGCCATAGTTAAAGAGGGCCACTTTGAGGGCGTTCAGGTCACCCTGGGGCAACGTGGTGTAGTTGGTGATCTGCACCACAGGGGTCACAGAGTTCTTCTTGCAAAAACTATCCTGTAAACGAAAATCATAAAATGAAAATCATATGTGCACACCTGCTCTGACAGCCACCTAAATAAGACAATCACCAGTACAAACAGCCAATTCCCATTTCTCCTCTTGTGGGTTTTTACATTATAATGACACTAAGACATCTACCTGTCTAAGACAATCACTTTTTCCCCCCACAGTGGGTGGTCGTCTTCGATAATTTTGACTGTATATATAATACTATGACACAAAACACATACATGGGTCTCAACTCAGAATTTTAAAAAAGATGGAATTTTCCGCATGATCGCGACAGACAACCATATTCACGAGACACCCATTATTATTACACTGTTTAACCCTAGAATGCTGAGATAAAAACCATCAATTTATCAAAGCAAGGTTATTTCATACCAATTTGAGGGTTTAGAAGATAATTTCAAGTAAAAGAGTAATTTACCAAATATTTACAATTTAGATTATGTACAGAAAGTGGTGGCACATTACTGGGTAGCGGAGTTTAGCGGAGGAAATGACAGTAGCGGAAATCCGCTAAATAGCAGAATATTGAGACCCATGACATACGAGATTGGGCTATTGTGTTAACCAAAAAAAATGCACAATACGACAACTAAGAGTTAAGCTGTATCCCACTTGTCCAAGACAAACACCGGCAAACTTAACCCCTTCCCATCGTGCATTTTTTCTCCACCAAACTGACATTGTCTAAGAAGACCACCAGTCTAAGATAAGATGATCCCTTTTCTTCCTGACACTGGGCATTGTCTAGGCTAGGTTTGACATAGACAGAAATGTAGCCATAGTTTACTCCTTTTTTTTTTATTGCCTTGATTCCCCTGCACAACCTCCATGCACATACTATAAAAAAATTTTAAAAACCAACCCCCCCCCCCCAAAAAAAAATTTTTTTAAATGTCCACTCACAATGGCCAGGTACTGCCCGTACTGTTCCTCACTGGTCAAGCCTCCGTTGGCCAGCATGTACCCGTAGGAGCGGAAATCTTCACCACCGTCGCAGCCGTTGTTGCCGAAGCCCCATGCGCAGTCAACCAGTTCCTGTTGGGACAGGCGCACCAGGTTGCCGGTCTGGGGAAACAATAGAAGAAAAAACGAATATGTATATATATACAGTCAAACCTGCAATAACGACCCCCGTCAAATTCCTGCTTGTGTCTATTTTTAGATATCATAATGCATAGCTGCCACTCAGGAATTTCAAAAAAGGAGGAAATCAATGCGAAGGCGGACGCGCGCTCTCCGAAGGCCGGAGTAAAACCAGTGAGATCCAGAGGCAATATATACTGGAAAATCTAGCTTATGGTTTTTCAAGGGAAAACTGTCATATTTGTTAACCATAAGCAACTGAATTAAAATGTATTTGGAAAAAAAAAAAAAAAAACAAAGGCACTAAGTAGACTAACAAGCATTTGAGTCAATTTGACACAGTTTGGACTTGGTGACTAAAAATCCAGTGTTTGTTGCAAGCTGGTGTCTTATAAAAAGATTTCTTTCAACTTAAAACTTGTACATCAATGTTGAGCGCGCGCAGTATTGGATCAAGGAAGCAACACCTCTACCGCTGTACTGAGCACTCCTGTACAATTGCGGTCCCGTTTGCACTTAACTTAGTAGTCCCTCTGTAGAGTGTAGATCTAACATGAATTAAAATTATAGCCTAGGCTATCTAATCTAGGTCTAGAATCTAGATATCTAAATATGTGTAAATCTAGATTATATCTAGAGATAGATTATCTAGATCTAGATCTATATTCAGTGTTCACTTCATCAACAGCCACAATATAGCCATCATGTAAACAAACGGGACCGCAATTGTACAGGAGTGCTGCGATTTCTTTATCGCACCAAACGCAAAGTGCAGCAGCGGTTAGTTCAATCTTCTCATGAACTTTTCAAGTCGCGCCGGCAGCTTCTTTCTCGTTCCAGCTCCTTTTATTTTTGCATTCAGCATCAATTTCTCTCGAATTTCCGCCGTTTTCAATGACAGCTCGGCGCGCTAACGTCCCGATGCCCGATCGACACTTTGTTGCTCCACAATAAACAAAGTGAAACTAGCGCTAGGCCTAGAAGAATGGAAGTAGAAAGCTACGGGCGGACATGCGCAAGCTGCGATTTCGTCTCTCTCCCGGTACGGTGTTTTCAGCGTGTAAAAAGTATCGCAATTTGCGGCCGAGAGTGGTCCAGCGGAGGAAGGAATAAAGTAGCAGGAAAAGCTAGATGAAGCGGAGTTTCCGCTATTTAGCGGGAAAGTGGCAGCTATGATAATGACGCTGTCCATGACATTTACATTTCTGAGGCAAACACTTATCCATCTCTACGACAATGGGAGGCAGTAATGGACAATTTCAAGTGTGCACATATACACTGTACATGGGTATACAAAGTTTCCAAAGAATACATTCTGCTCTTGTTTTTGTTGGGAGTTTTTACAGGGTTTTTTTATTTCAAAGGGGTCATTTTGTACCCCTGGGGTAGTATTCTTCACATCTCCAATACGTTAAAAAATCTTGATATTTCACAATTTTGTAAAGCATGGTCAACAAATACATCATCAGAACAAATGGTGGCAATACTTCAAAGAAGGTAGACAAAACAGTTGAAGTGGTCTCATTAAAAGAAAAGTTTTCACATCTTCTGTAAAATAAACTTCGGGGGAGTTGGCCTGGATATGTGCACAATACCAGTACAATGGCCCATCTTATCTTTTTTTTAGTAGAGGTTTTTACGGCACTTGCAACTGCATACGGTCATATACGCACCAGAAGATTAGAGGTGTTACAAGTGAGAAACAAACATAAAAAAGAAGGAGGGGAGATAAGGACAATAGGTGTTTGATAGAAAAAAAAGAAGCAAACCACACCAGAGAACCCGCCAACCACCCACCATCTTATCTTCTCTGGTTGTAAGACAAGACCTACCTTGAGGAAGTTGGCTCCCTCAATGGTTCCGGTGGTGCCAAAGCTCCAGCAAGAGCCACAGATGGCCTGGTCCTTGACGGGAGTCACAGCTCCTGCACACAGCAGATTTAGATTTTTTAGTTTTAGTTTTAGTAAGAGTTTTTCGACGCTCGCAACTGCATAAGGTAATATATGAGTGCCGAAGATTAGAGGTGTTACAAGAGAGTAACAAACATAAAAAAGAAGAATGGGGAGATAAGGATGATAGATGTTTGATAAGAAAGAAGAAGCAAACCACACCAGAGCACCCGCCAACCACCCACACACAACAGATTTAGATTTGTGAGAGAATATCCCCAACAAGCTGTTATTGTTTTAGTAAGAGTTCTACGGCACTTGCAACACAATTTGGTCATATAAGTGCCAAATATTAAAGGTGTTGTTACAAGAGAGTAACAAACACATGGAGGAGAGATCAGAACAATAGATGTTTGACAGGAAAGAAGGAGCAAACCACACAAGAGTACCCATCAACCATCCACCAAGCTGGAAAAATGTACTAGAATTTGAATTTCAACAAGACACTTCTTGAGATTAATTATGCAACTGACACCACAGATTAAGGAACTGCAAAAAAAAAAATCATTAAAAAATTTTTGGCATGGTACATTTTAGCAACTAACTGACAGTATAATACTTTCCAGTATGTCGAAACAAAGTGATCAAGGACAAATCTATCTGATAACAATGATCTTACAGTCCTTATGCTCTCGCTGAGTTATGATAAGAAGGGAAAACTCACCGTCCAGTCACTGTCAGATGAAAATGTATCTCTCAAAATTTATGTTTAATGTCCAATTTGAATAAGCAATCCACAAAAAAATGCTTTTCAAATTTATCTCACACGGTAATCCAAATATGTGTGCATGTGTGTGTGTGTTTGAGTGTGTGTTTGTGTGTGTGTGTGTGTTTGAGTGTGTGTGCATTTGAGTGTGTGTGTTTGAGTGTGTGTGTATGTGTGTGTGTATGTGTGTGTGTATGTGTGTGTGTATGAGCGCCCACACCTGTGTGTGTGTGTGTGTGTGTGAGTGTGTGTATGTATGTGTGTGTGTGTGTGTGTGTGAGTGTGTGTATGTATGCGGACGCCCATATGAGTGTACACAAAAGTTAAAACTAAACTAACCTTGCAGCCTCCAGTCCCACTGATCAGGCACATCATTCCTGGGGATCTGGAGCATGGAGAATGTCTTGCCCCCTCGGGGTCCGTGGGAGTAGCGGAAGCCACGCATGACCTTCATCTCCGACTCGGTTCGGTCAGCCATGTGGTTCACAGCCAGGGTGTAGCTCAGGCCAGCACGGTTCTTGGAACTGATGTACCTGTGTGCGTGGGAAGACCAGAGCAGAAATGATTTTCATTTTTCTCCTTTTTTTTAAGTCACTCTTTTGGGCAACAAGGTGGAGAGAGCACCGATAGGTAAAACTAAATAGCCAGACTGATCGCAACTGCAGTCAAACCTGCTGTAACGGCCTACCTATCCTAGAAATTGATGAAATGTTCAAGATCACAAGTATAAAAAAGATAAACAGCACTATAAACGACCCATCACATCCCCTTTCCCCACAAATTGTAAGATTACGCAGGGGCAGATATGTACCTCTAAAAACAAAGAAAGAAAAAAAAAATGTTTTTAACATCTGGCATAAGGCCAATGTCTATTGCTTTTTTGAGTATGTATCTATATAACTCTAAAGGTCTTGTAAGTAAATTCCTGCATGTGGTTGAATGATGCATCTGATGTGATATGTGTCAGCTTTACTTTGCTTTTCAAACTGAATTTCAATGAGAGTAATATATAATTAAAATTTTTATGTGTACCTGCATGTGTTTTCACAATCCTGTACAGCCATGAAAAAATCTCCCTCTGGGACAGAAAAGCATTATCTTATCCTATCTTATCCAAGTCAATCCCTTGTACAACGACCGCTTTCCACTTCCTTCCTTGTGTTTTTTTCTGTCATGACACTACCCAAGACTATACCTGTCCAACACAGCCACTTTTCTCCTCAACAATCAAATGTCGACTGTATTTCAGTCTTCAGTCGAGAGGGTAATTTGTTTTAGTAATTGTTTTACGGCACTTGCAACACAATAAGGTCATATAAGTGCCGAAGATAAGAGGTGTTACAAGAGAGTAACAAATACAAAAAAGAAGGAGGGGAGATAATGACGATATATGTTTGAAAGGAAAAAAGAAGCAAACCCAACCAGAGCACCCGCCAACCTCCCACTGAGTTTTATCGTCCACTGAGTTTGTTGGTTTGGGTGAAAAGGAGACAACTAACACAAGGGGATTTTCCAAATAAGTCGTTCTGGGTCTATGCCTTTTTCATTTGCTTTCTATTTTTCCTGTCAAAGCAAGGTGTTTAAAACCGTTATGTCGATTCAAGTGTCCTAGAAACTGCATTTGTCACTGCCTCATCATTCCTATAAGCCTATAATAGAAAAGACAAATGTGGTGACTTCGGGGTTTTGTTTTTTGCTATTTCAGTTTTCTTGGGGTTTTTTGTTGTTATTTTTTTCAATTATCATTCTCACCTCAGATTCTGTCTGAAGATGTGCTTGCGAGATTCATGCTCGGCATCATCATAGGTTTTGCCGTGGACTTTCTTGAAGATCTCAAACTCCTCGTGCATGTGGTCCTCCTGATGATGAATAAACTCACGGATCGGATCCAGTAGAATCTTCTTGGCCTTCATGCCTGGGCCTGGGTAGGGTCCACATTTCATACCTGCAAGACAAAGGCAAACAAAAATTATTTTGACAGAATAAAAGACACCTCTGACTTACTTACTTCATCTCTCCCTGAACCGTAAGGAACACAAGGCAGAGAGCAGTCGATGCTACAATTGTCTGTCTCTCGCCACTTTCTTTAGTTTTTATATATTTACGTTAGGCCCTGGGAGATTGCCTCATCTCCGATTGCACTCTTACAACTGCCAGTTTGTAAACTGATTCTTCTTTAAAAAGACAGCACAAGACTTAATAGAATCTCATTTTTTGTCAGAACTTGCTTTTTGTTTCTGTGTTTGCTTGAGTATTTTTGACAATGGCGCTATTGACACAATTTAGTCATATCTGCTACTTATGTTACAAGAGTGCATGTTGCTTTACAAATATAGAACAACAACAAGTATAACAACAGCTGAACTTGTTTCTACAGTCTCACTGCTGTAGTCTTACTGTCGTAGTCTCACAGAGACGTATATCAGCTCGATAAGTACTATCTAATAAATTCTGTTTAGTTTTGTTTGGTTTTGATGAAAGTTTTACGACACTTGCAATATAAGCAGGTTGCATAAGTGCCAAAGATTAAAGACGATACCAGAGATTAACATACAAAGAAAAGTAAGAAATATGAGGATGGCAGATTTTATTAGGAAAGAAGGAGCAAACCACACTTGAGCCCCCACCACTCATTTAAATCTTGCTACTCACTTGGGGGAACCTCAAAGTCCGCATCGGAGAATGTGACGTGATCATGAAACTCGAGGTAGTCCACGTAGTACTTGTCGTAGTGAGAGCCCAGGAGAGAGTCGTAACCCATCATCTCATAACGGACAGGCAGAGAAGCGGCATCATCGGTGACTGCCATCGTGTAAGTGCTTTTCTGGGATAAGATAAGTAAAATAAAATAAAACTTTATTGCCTACACTGGTTTGGTGGTCCCCCACACCAATACACATACACAAACACACGTTTACATCCATACACATATGTGTCACGACATGGTGGAATCAGGCGCTCATTAATTTTTGGGCATTTGGAATTATTAGTTTGCCTTAATTAAAGCTTGTTCAGTTGTCTTGCTATTGGTAAAAAAAAAATGCCAATCTATCTTGAACAGACGTCAAGATATTTGAGATTGAAGAAGATGGGGTCGCCTGGTTTCAAAGGTAGAATTAGCGAGAAAATGGCCCCCAAAGTTTGGTTATTTCCATACCTTGACAGTCCATGGAACTTCAAAACTTAATTTTTCATGCCTTTAATCAATGTTTTTCAGTACAATCCACCCAGAAATGTGTTTTTAATTGGACAACTATGGTGTTAAGCCAAAAAACAAAAATTTGATGAAAATTACCAAACTGGCAGAAAAATGCCAGTTTCTTCACTTTGATTATTTTGAAAAGTGCCTGATTTCACCATGCTGCCTCACATATTATTCTGTCACGCATCCTCTCAAAGTCTCTTCAAAATGCATCTCTAAAACATATGCTTGCACTCACAAACAGACCCACAGTCATATATATGCATATGAAATAATAAACAATTATTGTTGACAGTTTTTTAGGTTTAGTAGAGGTTTTACGGCGCTCGCAACTGCATATGGTCACATGAGTGCGAGAAGATTAGAGCTGTTAAAAGAGAGTAACAAACATAAAAAAGAAAAAGGGGATATGAGGACGATAAATGTTTGATAGGAAAGAAGAAGCAAACCACACCAGAGCACCCGCCAACCACCCCCTTTTTAAAAAAGTAATAATGTTTAAACTAGATGCACAATCAGTTTTCTGATATTACAATTGTAATTGTAATGAAAAAATGGGTATAACGTCCATCTCCAAAAGGACTGAGCAAAGTGGAAAATTCATGTTAAGTACCTTTCCCATGAACACAACGTTGGATTGAGCAGAGGCTTGAACCCCCGAACCCGCAATCTCACGATAGGAGAGCAGTATAGCCGAACCACTAGGCTACCCAAGCCAAGGTAATTGTAATGCATTATGCCAACCATGACACAATTTAGACCTAAATTATTTAATTAGCTTGGCAACTCCAACCCAGTATGTCGGGGCCAGTGCAGAATGAGCAGTGAAAAACATAGTGGCAGACAAACAGATACTGACTCGTCTACGTCATGGGAATCACCTAAACATCTGCGTGCAATAGAGAAGAGCATAACCATTCCACCACAGACGCCAGTTAGCTTACCTGTGAGATAATAAAATGTCCTATATATATATATATATATTATATATATATATACAGTCAAACCTCATTAAACTGCCAGCCCCACTTACTGCCTGGTTTCACCAGTGCACGAAAAAGAAAGTCTGTATAAATACAGTATTTGCGCCTTTACACTGCCATCCGCCAATGTCTGAGCTCTGTACAGTCTTTAATAAACTAATGTAAATACACTGTAGAAAAAAACCTAGACAATACCCATCCCATCGCCAATCGCCACAATAATAAAACGATACATAAATAAATAAACAGATAAACAGATAAAGAAAGAAAGAAACAAACAAACAAACAAATAAAAAAAACAACCAACCATTTATTGATCCCCACTGGCAAATTTGGGTATCAATGGCAAAACCACATAAAATACAAAGATTTAAACACACAAACATTAATATACATGTGCTGCAAACAATACCAAATATGCAACAGGTTTGGAATCAAACTTCTGTGGGTAAAACAGTAAAACAAACGCATGACAATTTCTAGCTACAACATTTACAATTGAAGGCTTACCTTTTTGCCCACAGTGACAACTTTCTGGTACATTTTGCATGGTAAACCTCTCACAGCCCCCTTTCCAACGTACTGTCAGAGAGAAACATTCAATTTCAGCATGATAATGATAGAAATAATTGCATTTATATAGATAAAAAAATATAAAAAATAAATTACACTTCTATTAGTCCCAGAAGGGCACTTTGGTTTACAATGGTAAACATACACATATATACATAATTATAAATACGTACATACATAAATACATGCATAATTATATACATAAATACACAATATTACACAAATACAGAACAGTTTACAACCATGTCACTGTCGGTCGCCACAGTGCAGCGCCCTGTATTTTTTAGCAAGGGTTGTCGTGTCTTGCTCAAGGACACACCCCAGTGACCACCCATCTGATCCCCCGTGTCACAGATACTAGTTTGACATTACTTGAGTCTAAACTCACTACTCACTACGCCGCTGGAGCCCCCAGTGGCATAGCTCTACAGCATGCTCTATGAACTTTATAACTATCATCACCCCTGCAGATCCTTGAACACCACTCAGAAATGTTCTCAACTTCCCGGGAAGCACATAGTGCGAGCTGCAGATTACACACATTAAAAAACTTAACTGACAAGATCTTTTGCTGTCTAAAGCTGGGTACCTATTCTCACCTGGGTGAAGTGAGGAAAATGCATGTAAAGTGCATTTTTAAAGGACACAACATCATACCCTCCATGGGCTCTCAAACCCAAGGCCTTACAGCTGAGAGTCTGTAAACCCAACCACTCGAGCACAGACGCCACACCATAACAATTTTTTTTTAAAACCACTCTCTTTATACCACAAATACAGTAATAATGTTACAAAGACCAGACTTTCATGTTTATTGTAACCCTTCAAAAAGAAAGTGCAATTTAGACCCAGAATTCTGCTGAAATAGAAAAGAACAATTTCATTTTATGAAAACGTCATAATATGAAGACTCTACTCCATACACATACCATACCACAGGAGTTTCAAATAGATTCAAATGCTCATGTTATTTCATTTTGTTTTTAAAATTCAAACAAGCTGATTAAATTGGTGGGATAACTTTCTTCTCAACAAAGGTTCAACTGACATAAATTTGTCTCAAAGAATAGTGGAAGAGAAAACAATAAAATAAATAAACTACATTTACAGTTGTTTTATGTGGAGGGGGAAACCCAAATCATTAAAAAAAATTAAATCTGTCTGTTGATAAACCATTAGGCCTACTGAGCAATACTTTCATGTAGAAAAGAAGAGAATCTTCAGGATGTCAAAATGTGTTTGTAATGTAACTCGAATGTTGAAATTTAACCACACAAGTGAAAGGTGGTTTGTTTTTTTCTAATTTAACCGCACACGTGAAAGGCATTTTTATCCCTACCAAATTAAATAACAAGCACATAAAAATTACACAATATACAAAATAAAAAATTAGTGGAACAACCATGATGAGGTGAAAATGTCAAAAGAGCAATGAGCATCTACCTTGAAATCAGTGGTATCGGGAAAGATCACAGTGAGCTCTGTTGGCATTTCTTGCGAGCCATTGGCGGAAAAGCAGCTGATCTTGTTCAACACCTTTTGTGTGGAGAAAGGGATGATCTTAAGGGTCACACCATAGGGCAACTCTGGTGTCTTCACTTTGGAAATGACCCTTTGTATTCCTGTAGATTAAATGAAACACATAGGCCAAAGTCAACTATGGAAATTTTTACATAAAAAAGGCTAAAAAGAGAAAAGGAGCCAATCCCTTTCTTTACGGAGACATCAACACCACTCAAATAAATTTTTAACTGATGAGTTTCAAAGCAAAAACCATTGAACTTGCTCTTATGACCACCTGTCTAAGACAATCATCTGTACAAACAGTCATTTCCGTGGGTGGTTGGTGGGTGCTCTGGTGTGGTTTGCTTCTTTTTTCTTATCAAACATCTGTCATCTTTATCTCCCCTCCTTCTTTTTTCTGTTTTTTACTCTCTTGTAACACTTCAAATCTTCGGCACTTATATGACCTTACTGTATTGTAAGTGCAGTTAAGCACTTCCTAAAAAAAAAACCCAATCATTTCCCACTTCCCACATTCATTTTTTTTATGTATATTTTAATGACCCTGTTTAAAATGACAACCTGATCACTACTTTTCTCCTCGACAATGGGTGGTCATCTTGGACAGATTAGACTGTATTCTGAGAAATGAAATCACGGGTGTACTGGTGTCTGTCAATGTAACAACTGTGGTGTCCTTGAGTTGGTTCTTTAACCCTTTGAGCCCTGACCTCCTAAGGCTACCGTGCCCCTCTGCCTGAGCTCCTAAATGATATTGCAAACATCCATAAATTCGTCATCAGAATCACACTCCATATCGCACTCAGGTTATTCCTCATCATTACCAACATCTAATTAAATTCAGAAAGATCTAAATTCAAATTTAACATCCTGCGTCGTAAACACAGTTTTTTGTGAGCGTTTTGTCCCACGCTGGCAGGGTTGGAGATAGGTCTCGCTCACCAGTTTACCGGTGGCAAGGGGTCAATGGGTTAACGTGTACTTGAATTCAAACAAATACAGAGTTCAAAAACTGTAGTTTCTTCACTCTTAGAAGGTACACATCAAAGTTTCTATATGTCCTTTCTACCCCCTCGTCGGACGACTCTCTCACACTCAAAGCCTTGGCCTCCACACTATGAACTCTCCTGTCTTATTTTATTACCTTAAGTAGGTGTCATAAAGTTTATGGTAGGCTACCTGAGGGCACAGACAAACAAAGAACAACAGATAGCCGACACAACAGTTTTACCCATTGGTTCAAGTTCTGAGCAAGTTATTTAGATATATTCTGTGTCTACCTCAATATTATTTTTACTTCTATTTTTACGACAAGACTAAAATGTTGGTGAAGTTCTCAATGTCCACTCAAGTGTCCTATGAACTGCATTTCTCTTTTCCTAAATTGTTATTATTTACAAAGAAAAACTCAAGCAAAACTTACCATTGTAGTAGTCCACACGGCCACGTCCATTTGGTCCATCATAAAGGACCGTAAACGGCTCCACAATTTCTGCATAGGGCAGACGGATGGTCCCAGTCACATTGTATGAAGCATCGCTGCCTGGAATCCAGAATGGCTTCGGCTCCAATCTCAAACTCCATGCCCCAGCACCTGCAGAAAGAGGATGTAAATAATAATTTTTTTTAAAGTTCAAGTTATGAACATAATAATGACAAAATATATACGAGATTATCTCGATGTGAAGGGAGGCATGCATATATTAACCCCTTGCTGCTCACCACATACATCCCACATACTAAGAAAAATTCCAGAGTATACAAGGGGTCACAGGTCACAATCTTTAATCAACAGTTATTCGCTTCTAAGTATAAACTCAGGTACAAGAGACAGATAGTTATTTACAGAGGTAAAAGTATTAAAAGCATAGAAAAAGAAATGAAGAGACAAAATTATCACCATTGACAAGACCTTACAACAAGCCATAACAATATTATAAACAACATGAAAGAAGAACCAGGGATGTAAACAGGTTTTGAAAAAAAAGCCGGAAAATATACGGCGAGCGCGCACTGATTGAAATAAGAATACAGTGAGGCAAAATTATATTTGTTTCTTTCCCTCTATTACAACAAATAATCTCTATTTAGTATTAGTATATAATATGTATTGTTTAGGCCTATAGTAGACTTTTGTTAAAAGCTGGGGTCCCAATGGCAAGTCGGCAGGAAAAAAAGGAAAAAGCCGGAAGATTTACATCCCTGAAGAACTGAAGACTAAACAAGCACTCTAGGCTGTTGTGTTGGCTATATCTTCGCACAATGAGTACATAAAAAAGACAAGATCTTGCTTTGTTTCATCGGTCACAAAGCCTTTGCTTCTTGTCAAACTATATTCAACAGAAAGAGAAATGAAGTGACAGCTATATTTTATCCATTGGCAAGACACAGGTAGAACAAGCCATATAATCAAAAACGATATGAATAAAGTTCTGAGACTGAACACACGTGTTCTGATTCTGCTTCTACGTATCGGCTGTACCCTGTCTCACACAATGTGTGTAAGATATGCAACTCACCTTTCTTTGTTCAAGACCTTATTATGTGTGATTCTCAGGTGCATAATTTTTAATAGCCTAGAAATAAACATGATTGCATCAGCAAGTTGACACAGAATAGAAGATGGTGATATAAAGTCTTTTTAAATATAATTCAAAACCGTGTGGAGGCAAAGATGAACGAACCAAACCATGGATTTTAAAAGGCATACCATGAAATGCGGTGGCGGAGCGGTTAGTGTCTCGTCTACAAAGCAGGTAAAGGCGGCGTGGAAAGGAACTGGCCACCCTACCACCATATGCCAAAGGCCCAGGAAGTTGTCTCACTAACAAGGCAATCCCCAATGTCCGGATCGGAAGCGGGAACAATTTTACTTTACTTTACCATGGAATGCATTCAGGTACTTTAGCGGATTATTTCCCTTGTTCTAAGGTGCGTGAGGCATCGTGGTGAAATCAGGCGCTTGTCAAAATAATGAAAGTAAGGAAACCAGCATTCTTCCATCCGTTTGGCAACTTTTAAATTGAATTTTTATTTTTAAACTCAACAACTTTTATTCCATTTAAAAACACTATTTTTGTGTGGACTTCATTTTCAAAATGATTAAAGCAACAAAAAGGTAAATTTTCAGTTTCCAAGGACTCTCAAGCTGCTATGGACCAAAGTCACACGTTGACGGCCATTTTCTCGCAAATTTTACCTCTAAAACAAGGTGACCCCAACTCCTTCAATTGCAAAAATATCTAAACTTCTCTTCAAGATAGTTAGGTGGGGGTTTTTTCATTGAAAGCAAGAAAAATGAAACAAGCTGTAAGATGATACCAGTAACTCCACATGCCCAAAAATTAACGAGCACCTGAATACACAACTTCGGGACACAGTTAGATAATCTATCACGACAGATCATGATCTCTCGGGGGTAAAAGTAAAGGTTATCATGTGTGAAAATTTAATTTTGAAATATATTTCTGGCAGTCAAGGCTCAACAGTCCTGAGTCAAATATAATATATATATATACAAAGAAAATGAGAGCCATCATGTGACATGTCAAGAGAAAGAAATGTAAATTTTAACCCAATGGACCTGAGAGCCTCAACTCAGCATGCTTCTTTACTTTTACATCATTAAGTACTCGGTCTTCTTTGACTTTGAGACATTAGCCAATTCACCACTACAATGGAGATAAAATTGATCATGATATCAAAGTGCGTGGGTTTACAAAGTTACAAAGACATATTATAACTCACTTGATTTACCAATCTGGTACCTAAACTTTATTTTATAATAATATTCTTAGCAACATTTCTCCCCCACATGCAGAGAGTACCCAGTGCAGTGCATCTCAGATAAAAATCACAGAGATCACCAGCATCTAGATCAACCGAGTCTGTACTTGAGAGAGTAGCCTTTCAATCTGAGATTCTCCGGGTTTGGCCAAATGAGTTGTACTAGATCCATATATATATATATATATATGTATGTATATATATATATATAATATATATATATATATATCTCTCAAATCACTGAAATACTCGGTATTGATGTTATAATATCCAAGGAATTTCCAATCCAAAAGATGAGCTGCTATTTTTTTCACGTACAAAAATGAGCAGTAACACAACTTGTTTTTCACAAAGGGGGTTTCGGCATTCGGGGGGCATTTAACCCTACTGCAATTTAAGTTTGACATCTCTTGCTCACCGAGCGTCAATCACCATAACATCGGCCCGTGAGTCAAAAAGTAATCGTTTAGAACCAGAAGTAATCGTCAGTGGAGCCATTCGACACTCCATGTAATAGTTAATGTTCTTGGGGCCAAAACCAGATTATCCCAGCATTCCTACCCCCAACAACTAAATTCTAGAATGTAGATCTCCTAGATCTAGAGATCTACCGTTTACTAGTGATGGGCATGTACCGGTACCCAGTACCAGAACTTCCAGTTCAACCGAAGGAGGCCTCCAGTTCCGGCTCTGGGAAGGAGCCGACACCAACGGTTAATACTGGCTCTGGTAAGGAGCAGACGTGACAGGGTTTTTTTTTGGGCCATGGAAAGTTGTGTGCAGTGTGTAGGCCTAGGCCTAGCAGCTGTGACGTCAGATGCACAACGCAGCGGGTGACCTTGATACATGACTTCAGATTCAAAATTGACAATCAAAAATGAAATTTGCTTAAATTTAATATGGCATCAAATCAAGTTCCACTCGAGCCACTTCGCTTATTTTGATACGCTGATTCCGAAAATGAAATCAATTTTTAGTCGGTAACCTGGCATGTAGCCTCAATATTTACGTACACAGTAACTGGCAACCGGGCACTTAGTCTCAATGTCACGTACATGGTAACCGGGCATTTCAGAACTCCAAGTTCAGTTTTTGTCATCCAGAGTTGCCTTCATCCCCACCCCTCCCCCGACTGTACCTTTTTAAAAAATCAATAATCCCCCCCATTCTGGAGCCCTATACTTCGCAGCGCACAGGCTCTGAATGAACTTTGGTGACTCCCAACCGGTACTCACAATGTGAGGTGCACGTACAGTAAACCGTGTACATAGATGAGACTAGGTGCCCAGTTACCGTGTACGTAGATACTGAGACTAGGTGAGACTGTCTAAGTGCGCGAACCAATACGTAGATATCGAGACTAGGTGCCCGGTTACCATGTATGTAGACACTCCGTTTTTTAAATTCTGCATGCAAAGTTTAATCCCACGCTGCGGCAAACTTCAAAGGGATTTTGCGTCACAGTTCACCTCTCCAGTTGTTACTTGTGTGGGCGTGTGATTTTTTTAGGGGGCAGGGGGGATGATGCGGGCCGCGCTGATCGAGGCGAGACACAGTCTGTGACATCACCTTTTGGTGTCCCTCTCAGTACCGGTACCAGTGCCAGTACTGGCGGTTCTTGGCACCCAGTGCTGAGAAAGTACCGACACTGGATTTCGCCGGTACCGCCCAGTACTATCATTTACGACAGTACCAAAAAAATCAGTTATCAAAGTTGTCATCATCATATAGCCTAGGCCTCTATGGCTCTTTTCATCAAGGAAGTGGCTATCCTCACCCCGGGTGATAATAAAAATACGATCTACCTCTCACCCCGGGTGAGACTTGCCAGCGTAGGCTATTCTTACCCGGTGTGAAACAAGACCTGTTTTTCCTCATTTCGGAATACTGTCTATTGGTGTGAATGATCAAATAATAAAAGCCAAGAAAAAATTACGTTATTATAGCACAAAGACAAAAGTAAGCTAATTTGATCGTCTTCAAAGATGCTATGGCTGTTTCACTTTTCGAATCGAGCTGAACTACGCGGGTCGCCATTTTGTTTTGCTCGGAAGTTCTCACAGGATCTACTCTTGTGGACGATCAAATTGACCAAAACAAAGTTAAAAAATGATGTTAAAAAACAAAACTAAATTAATTTGGTCATCTACACAGATGCTACGACTATTTAACTTTCCGAATCAAGCCGAACTATGCGGGTCGCCATTTTGTTTTGCCTGGAAGTTCTCACGCTACTCCTCTCTCTCTCTGAACTCTCTCTTTCTCTCTCTCTCCACTGCCCACAGACAAAATTGCACGTTTGTTCACGGCACAGAATTCTACAATTTAGTTATCACAATGTAGAATTCTGTGGTTCAGGGTGAACGCTTTACTGGTTGGCCTAGGCTAGGCTATAACGGTGAACGCCCACCGGGTGAGAATAGCCAAAAGACTCGTCTGCGCTATTCTCACCCGAGAATAGAGGTGGCCTTTCACCAAACATTTAGAGCAAACAGAGGACTCAGTCATGAACCATTGTCTTGTGAGATCTAGATTCTAGTCGGTCCCAAGAAGGCGGCCTTGAATAATTAGATCTACTGAGACTGAGAGGGAGAGGCTTCCGCTACTAAGATTAGATATTAAATTGTTTTGTTACTTCTTACACTTACACTTACTGTTCAACTTCATAGGGCAACGCTGCTGTTGTACCTAATTAAATACTCTAGATTCTAGATTCTAGATCTAGATCTACAACTATTCTCCGAGCATGCCGCAATCATTTACACATACTCAGAGATTCGAAAATTATTCCACAAAACATGAAAAAAATGTTTATAGACTCTAATACAAAACTAGAATCTAATGTCCTTACAAAGAGAAACCAACAGCACAGCGACTCCCGTGATCCTCGCCATTTTGATGAGAAGTAAGTCACATGATTGAAGCTGTGCTATTTATATACTCTCACTTGTCGGGGTCATTGGTCGAGCCTATTCGTATGAATAAAAGTTGCAGGCCAATTTGACAGGTCAGGTTACGCCCCTCCCCCCCCCCTCTC